TCTCTCTCTCTCTCTGCATGTACAGATAGATACATGCACACGCAAACATCTATACCTGTATGTTCCTTTCAGGCCCTGCCTACTTGCCTCGCTGCCTTCCTACCGACTGACCGAGCTATCGAGCCATCCTCAAGCAGCGATCAGGTTCGTTTGGCCGGAGCGTGACCTCAAAGACCTGAAGGAGCACCCCTGGAAGGCGCCCCTCTCGATGCCGCCTGGCAAAGGAGAGTCCGAAGCCGCAACCCCCAAACTGCCAAAGCCCTAACACCCCCAAACCCCAAAAAGTCCTTAGCTATTTGTGGCCAACCGCAGGAAAGCTTGTGAAAGGCTCTCACAACCGTGGCTGCCCTACACGCCACTCAGAACGATCCTCCCCAAGGCAGATGGGCGACCTCCTGGCCTTTCACAGCTTCGAGGTCGCCCACGGAGCCGGGCAACTTGGCCCTCTCAGGGGGGTTTAGATGCTTAGGGTTTAGGGCTTAGTACGGAGTTTCCGGGGTGTAGGACCGGTCTCAGATTCGATGATCTTGCGAGGTTTTTTGAAAGCTTCTTTGGCATCCAGACACTTTCTTGAGGCAGCTGATGGACGTTGACAGCGACGCAGTCCGCCTCAGCCTCGATGCACGTTGCTTGGCCAATGTTTGTTGTGATGCTGAGCACTGTTTGTGTGGCTGCTTCTATTGGATCCCTAACGGTTTTTGCTTATTACTGCTGCATTTGGTGTTCTTCTTATGTAGTACTTTATAGCACCCTTGTTTTATCTTCCATCCGGCGCCACCTGGTCCAGACGAAAACGGTGCTTTGAGTTCTTAGAGCCTGAAGTTTGTATGCATTTTCTGTGCAAAGTGATCAGACAGATCTTGCTCTCAACATGTCGACATTTTCTTGTCAAGGCTGCCACTGTGCCGAATTTTCCAACCGGCCGGTTCGAACCCGCCGGGGTGGCTCAGCTTGACGCATGGGGAGGTATAGTTGGGGGTTGGAGATCTCAGGTTTCAGTTCCGGACGACCTCGATGAACAATATAGAAAGACAAGAGCGGGAATCGAAGACAGGGTTTAGGGTTTAGGGTCTAGGGTTCAGGGATTGGGTTCCAGGTGGGCTTCCGTTCCTCTCCAAACTCTTCCCTAAGCCCCCGCTACCCCCGATGCAAATCCGTAGTCCCTCCGTGAAGTACACGTTGAAGCATTTGGGCCAAAGCCTGAAACCCTGGACTAGACCCAAAGCCGCTTCAGCAAAAGCTTTTCCACTGTTTTGTGTCTTAAAAGTGGGGGAAGAGAGGGGTCCTCCGGCTTGGAGGCGAGATCTGTGCTCCGGTCTGGTTCTACGGAGGCCGAACTGTCGGAACTGTCGGTTCGGTTGGGTAAGCAAAGGCCGCTGGCTTCAGAGCTGGGTTTCGGAGTTCCGAACCTCGCTGTGAACTTTTGCGTTGGCTGTTTACAGACAGCGAAACTTCCCCTCACGGAATGGTTCCAAAGCTGCGGAAGGGCCAGGCCGTATGGTTAGGTCACACGTAGTTGCAGGTCGCCGTAAGGGGCTTGAAGATCTATTCGGCTGTGAATCCGGGCCTTGTGCCGCGGACCTTTGCCTCCTCGAAATGAACTTTAAACCCTGTATACCATAGCTCCGAGCCCAAATCGTTCAGAGGCTTTCTTCCCCTAAGGCCAGAGACTGGAGTCCTGGACCAAGACAGTCAAAGAGGGATGACCTGCCGTGGGATTTGTAGGTTTGGGGGGTGTAGGGGAGCTTGGGACGTATATACTGCGGTGAGCCCCGCACAATATAGACATACATGATGTGTATCCGGAGTGTTGTGTTCAGCGCGACCTTGGTTGCAGGTCAAGCTCAACATGGCTGTCAGAGGAGCCTGGGATGTCGCAGACCGCAGTAGTGCCGTTATTCTGATTGCTGTTTCTCTTCCGAAGTAGCATCAGCATCATTTCTCTCGTCTGTTTTTGGCATTGTTTAGCTTCTAGGGCTCGTGGAAAGAATCTCTCGAGATGCATTTCCCCTAAACCCAAAACCCAAAACCCAAAACCCTAAACCCTAAACCCTAAACCCAAAACCCAAAACCCTAAACCCAAAGCGCTACACCCTAAACCCTAAACCCTACGCCTTAAACCCTAAACCCTAAACCCTACACCTTAAACCCTAAACCCTAAACCCGTGCTGGGCATTCTGCAATGCCTTTCCACCTCCAGGATCGGCTCCGACGAGCCCTGGTGCGTCATCTACAGACAGGCAGACGAGGCGTCGGAACTTCTGAGCACGGTTTAGGGTTTAGGGTTTAGGGTTCGTGGTTTCGAGCTTCGATGTTCCTAAGTCCTGAAATCCTAGGCCTACGGAAACGCTGCTTGGAGGTTTCGGGTAGTTGTAAAGTCTCAAATGTTTCTTTTCATATGCCAGCTTCAGGTAGCAAGCCAGAACAGAGGTGGGTTTAGAACTTCTATTTTGGGTAGCTTTGAGGTACCTCAGAAAGCAGAGAGGTGAGGAGTTGAGGGTGTAGGAGGCAGTTTGAAGCTTGAAGTTTCCAGGCCATTCTGCTCACTCAAGCCGAAGGACTCCAAGCTTTCGGGGCTTAGGGTTTAGGCATCCCGCGTCGAAAGCGGCGGAGGCAGGGGCGGGCTGCATTCTGAAGAATGACACGCTCTGCGCCTATCCTTGCATCTCGGGCTGCAGACCGAGGGGAGGAAGCCCAGAAGAAGATCCCTGAATCACCAAACGCCAAGCCCCACCCCGGGTTCGGGATGCACGGCCCAGCACTGTCCAGGGTTTAGGGTTTTTCAGGGGTTAGAGTTCAGGGTATAGGGTTTATAGTAGTAATCATGCAAGTTTTACTAGGGCGTCCTGACCTTCCCAGGTGAGGCCGAAGAAGAATGCTCGCTCCAGTCCTTCGATTTCTGCGGATGATGGCAAAAAGTGGTATTGCCATGGGGGTGTCTGAAAGTAGCTATGTTCCCCCAGCGCCCGCTGCAAGAAGGGTACATTTACGAACAAGCTACTCCCCTAAACTGTCGAAGCCCCCGCACCCCCTCTGACACGGTTGTGGCGGAACCTTCACGTCCGGCAGGTTGTTCGGTGAGGTTAGGTGCAAATGTTCGCTGAGCTTCATATTACTATTCACTGTCAGGGTTAGGGACCTGCCGTGTAGCCCGTTCGGTTCCCCGGAGCCGCCCAGGTTCCTATAAACATTAGCTACTCTGGCATTTTTACACAGGGCTCCTTTTGGCTGCATACACCTACCGACCTACCGCAATTCAAACATAACGGGGCTTCGCTTCCTGAGCCGGGTCTTTGGAGCCGTTGACACCCTCAGCCCTAAACTTCTCAGGCCCCCGAACTCCCAAAAAAGTTTCGAAGCCGCCGAAGCTCGGTTTAAAGCTGAAATAGGAGTTTCCGAAAATAAGGGGTACCTTATTTTGGAATCCTTATAATAGGGATCCTATTATTTAGGGTGCTATATTAGGGTCCCCTATTTTCGGAAACCCCCAAATAGCTCCCTGAACCTCTGAGTGGGGGATAGAAGAGCCGGTGAGCCAGGCGCCTCCATGCAGCCAGGGAGGCGCTTGGGGAATGCTCATGCCGGGAGGGGGTGGGAAGAAGTTCGGCTCTGGTCCTCAGGCTTTAGGACGAGCTCAGTGTCCCAGGTAGGGTTCATTCTAGGCGCTACGGTCTACATCGGCAGAACATCGTGTGTGGGTTAGGACGATGCTCTACCCGGTCATGTCTGCAGTTGAAGTTCGGATTGTAGGGAAAGGTGGGAGCGAGGCTGGGTCAGGCTCTCTCCAAACTAGACCATCCCTGACACAACTAAATCCTGACACCCACCAAGAAAATTTAAAGCTTTTTTAAGCCCCGAGACTTATAGTCTTAATACCCTAACGCTAAACCGCTAAAGCCTAGCATCCCAAATTGTATATCCCCCTCCTGAAACCCTAAACCCTAAAAACCCTAAACCCTAAAACACTAAAACCCTCAACCCTAAAACCCTAAAGCCCTAAACCCGAAACCCTAAAACCATAAACCCTAAAACCTAAACCCCGAACCCTAAAATCCTAAAGCCCTAAAGCCCTAAAGCCCCAGACTTAACCACAGAGCCGGCTGGGTCTTCGGAGGCGCTCCGGGCCTCGTCCTCTTTTGGCCCGGCTTCCGCTGAGGACTCCGGCGGTTTAGAGGTTTAGGGTTTGGGGT